AAAATGTCTCTATCATACCTTATCAAGGTTAACTTTTTTGTAGTTAAAAGCAGCATCAAATTTTAATTTATTCAAAAGGAAATCGACTTTTTCGTCAGATCCAGCAGATCCAACCACCTTTAATCCTTTAATTTTGGCGATTTGACCAACAAGTTGTCCTGTGGCTCCGGCCGCACACTAGAAGAAAAAAGAACTTTTCAGTCGTGATTTTATTTATTTTTTTTTATATTTTTTAAAAAAAAAAAAAAAAAAAGTAATAATGTATAAATTTTTTTTTTTTTTACATACCGAAATATAAATTGTTTCTCCTGCTTTTGGTTTTCCAATAGTCATTAAGGATCCGTAAGGAGTCATTCCACTAATTTGAAGAACACTAACTTGATTACTTAATGGAATCTCTTTTAATAACTTTTTATGATAATTAACGTTTTTAAAAGGGGCATCGTTTATTCTTTTAGCACCAGTCTTAATAAGAGTGTATTCTTCCCAACCTAAATTAAAAGAGAGGATTTATAATTCAACTATAAAAAAGTGTTCATTTAAATTTTAAGTGATATTTCTCATTTATTTACCAATAAATCCGTAAACGAGATCACCAATTTTATGGGTTGGATTATTTGATTTTACAACTTCAGATACTCCAACACCATTTAAAACATGACCAATTATTTGCGGTGGCATAAATGATTTAATATGAGGTTCTCTCAAGGTCATACGAATATAAGGATCTAAAGACAAATAAAGATTCTTCAAAATAAAATCATTTTCTCCCAATTTCAAATTTTCAATATCAATTGTACGATGAACTAATTCAAAGTGTACGTCTGATTTTGGTAATCCTTCTGGAATAGCTTTGAAAATGATTCCTTTGTTTGTTACGGGTGACATGATTTAATTGTCAATGTAAGTCTAAAAAACTTGTAGTGAAAGTAATTCTCAACATTTATATTTATAACGAAATTCCGGATAAATATCTATTCGGCTAAAATATTTAGTAAAATTACTAGTTGAAAATCAACGGATGAGCGTTTCATTAATTTATGCACCTTTATTAAATCATTTGGAAAGCAATGATCCTGTCTATAAAGGGAAATTTCAATTTTTTTTCCATTGTCGATTCAATAAATGAATGAATAAAATCATTTACTAGAAATACGAATAGTTGGGGACTTTCAACCACGTTATTGTGGGTCATGTTTTATAATTATTTTTTTATTTATAATTCTGTATGTAAAAATCCATTACTTGTAAAAAAAAAATCATTAAAAACTAAAATTTGATTTTTAAATTTTAAAAAGAATTTCTATTTACTGAAAGATTATTTATTCAGAATAAAACGAAACTAATTTTTAGTCTATCGTAAGATCCAAAAAAATAGATAAATTTTTTTATAGATCGGAAGGGGCAGAAATGTATTCGTTGAACAGAATTTATGATATTTTACTATAGTTTTTAATTTTTGTGATACTGCAGTAATTGGAGAAAAAAAACACGAGTTAATGCTGACTTGGAGCATATCGCGAAAAACATTTCTCCGTGGCTTATATAAAATTTCCGTGAAAATGAGGAATCCGTATAATGATATGAAAATTTCGTGATTTAAGTTTATAAATTCCGTGAAAATGAGCTTTTCACGGAAAAACATGGAAAACAAAGGATAAACTTTTTTTATAGGGCATTTTATCCAACATTATCTTGACCTCATATTTCTTTTAGTAATTCTATTATAAAGATAAATGTTGGCTTACATTTACTTACGAGTTCCATATTGTGATTTAAGCTGCTCAAAACTATTCGTCAGTTTAAAGTTTGGAAGATTTATATGTAATAAATAAAATAAAAATCTCGTGTATATTGTGAAAAAGGAAGAACCTCCGAAGTTTTATGTATGTGTCTAAATTTGTCTGCCTACATGTTGATAGAATAGTTAAAATTTGTCTTAATTTTTTTGATGACATCATACCCAAGACATTTCCACAATATGATACCAAGGATTATTAATAGACACAAACGGCATAAATTAGCTGTTCTGTTATAATATCTTACAACTGCCTATAGTCAGGGTTGGGAATTTTGTATGTACAAGATAAAATTACCACTGTACTGTACTGGTACTGTACTAATTTTTATATTAATTATTATAATGTACTAACTGTACTAATTATTGTACTAACACTGTACTTCCGAACCCTGCCTATAGTCATGTCAGCATGAAATGGGATAATTGGATTAGAGGTTGGAACCATCCTTAACCGGTTAATAATCGGTTAAAAATTTCTTTAACCGGTTAATTAACCGGTTAAATTTAACTCAGGCCGGCACTATAAATTTGAGCAAAACTAGTAAATTTTATAATTTTTGTAATTGCAAAAATATTTTAATTCTGCCCGAAAATTAAATTTCGACCAGAGTTAACATTAGTTATTTTAACCAGTTAAAAAAAATCTTTAACCGGTTAACAAGATAAAACGTCTTAATCGGTTAATTAACTGGTTAAAAATCAACTGGTTCCAACCTCTACCGTATGATTAAAACAAGTTTTTTGAGTAATTCTTTTTCATCAAAGGATATTTACTCGTCTCCATTTTCCAAACAATTCAACAACTAATTTTTAAGAATTTATTTTATTTTTTGTTATTTTTATCATATATATTTTTTTGCTTAGAGTTATAAAATCTGTCAAAACGATACAATAACCCAGAAATAACTTTTTTTATAACCTTTTCATTATAATAAATGAGAATTAATGGTTTCTTCAATAAAGAAGCACATTCTAAAATTGAAATTTCCATATCGGGAAGTCCAACTTGAAATTTTACAACTGGGTTCTATTATGACTATTTTATCACGTTCTTGTTTTGATAAAGATTTCTTTTGAAAATAAATATTTCTTCGGCTGAATTTTGGAAAATTAAATTCAATAAATCGGCTAAGATGAATAGCAAAATCGGTTCGATACGATAAAAGAAAATTTTTTTAATTTTAAATGAAAAAATTTTTAAATTTGACCAATGGAAAGTCGGAAAATCGCCAATTCAAGATACGACTTTAAAATCAATTTTAGTTACTCCGATTAATAGGCAACAATCGATTACATAAAATCAATAGATAAAGTAATTTTTCTTTTTTACAAGTAAACAATACAGGTAACAACAAGCAGCATTGGACAACAATTTTTCGAATTTCTTCATGAAATAAATGAAATAGTTAACTCAGGATTATGAATTCATTTTAGTGTATCAAGTCCTTTAAATAATTAAAATTTGAATCAATTAAATTTTATTTGAGTGAACAATTTAATAAAAAATCCCAACTAAAATGTCACGTGACACCTATATCTTTAAAACGAATTTTCGATTGATTTGTTTTATAAATATCTTTAGATTTATTTTCTAATAAATAAAGATAATAATAATATTACTCTAACATAGTTTTTATAAAGTTTTACAACTGTTTTATACTTAAATTTAAATAATTAACATCATTTTTACCGATTTTTGATTTTCAAAACTGGAATCAAAAATTGTTTTTAGTTTCTGATTAAAAATCGAATTTTGCTGATTTCGAATCCTTATTGTATTTACAAGCTATAAATGTAACATTGCATTGATATATATCAGGATTCAATTTATGAGTATTCATAAAAGTTACATTATGTTTTTAATTAACTTATTTTTAATTAAGACATATTGTGCGTAAGCAAAATGAAAATCAAAAATTAGGAATTGCAAGTTAAATCTTTCAGCATACTAAGGTAATTTGTTTGACAAATTAATTTTATAAACCTAATAAATTCGACTTACAAGAATACACTAAAAGACATTTTAAATACAGAGAAAAATTTGGAAAATGTAAGTATAAACGAGAATATGTGTTAATGGTAATTCCTTCTCAAGAAAGAAACATAACCAAATGAACCACTTTTTATTCTTCAAAATTTGACTTTCAGACGTTTAAATATCGATTTGGATTATAAATCAGAATTATTATTATCAATTATTTACATGAAAACAATAAAATGATTTACTCGAAACAAAGTTTTTATTGATACAAAAATACGATCTTAGAATAAGATTTCAAAGTGAAGAGTATAATTAACGTACAAAAGAAAGTGATAAATTGTAGAATAAAATAAATAAGATATGAAAATTTAAAGATATTATTCTTGGAACTTTTGATTTTTAAACTCATTGAGTGAGCATTCAATTGAACTCAAATTGATCTTCAATTTCTCAATTTCCTGAATTAACTTTGCAGCATCTACTTGAGTTTTTCTTTTTGCATCATCTGACTTCCCGACATCTACCTGAACTTCTCCTACTTCTTCAGTTGTTGGGATTATTTCGGTAGACTTTCCCTTTTTGTCATTCTCATCTTTATTTTCAAATTGCCAAATTGAATATTCATCATAAGTTGATCTTTTAAATGCGTTTTTAATAAATGTGGGTGGCTCTTCAAAATCCTTATAAATAGTACCTTGATCTTCTTTTCTACTTTTGTGCCAATTTTCAAAGTTTTTAGACTGACCGATATAATGAATATATTTAGGATCTGATTCATGAGGCCAAAGATGAATGTGACATAAAGCTTCATAATCTGCTATTTGATTTGCTCTATACCTTAATAAAGCTTGTCTACCTTTAGTTACTGTTTCTTCATAAACACCACTAGAGTCAACAGAATTAAAAAAATGTCAAATAAAAAATTTTAACCACAAGTTTACAAAGAAAGAATACTTGATAAAACCTACCCCATGAAAGCAATCAACATATTTTGTAAAATAATTACAATAAATATGCTAGCCATAAAAGTAAATACTTTGACAATCCAAGAATCAAACAGATCCCTTTGAACATAATCACCATTAATCCAATAATATGCAGCTTCTATTGAAGTAGAAAATGATGAAAATGGATTGTCATTCCGATCTGTAGGATTAAAATCTGATTTGAGGTTAATTTCAAAACTTTCTTTTGTTATATCATTTATTGCAAATCCACTAGCTGTAGCATCCTTAGTTCTAATCCCTGCTTGTTCCGGGTCTTTAAGCAATAAAAACCTATATATGATTAATCAAAAAGTTAATCCTGTATATTTTAAAATAAAACCAAAACTAAAAAGAAATATTCTTACAATGTATGTGCAAACGCAAATATTACAATAAACGTAAATATAAGAAACGGAAGTACGGATTGGATAATTATAATAACATAATAAATATAGGTAGCAATTCCTGTAAACAAAAAAAAAGGTTTTTATTGAGGATTTTTTTTTTGCCAATTTTCATACAATAATATGTACTTACTTGATATTAGATGAAGATATAGAATCTAGAATTAAGGAAAATTTTTAATTAAATTGATCAATAATTTTAATGAATTTTTGAAAAACTTACAGTTTCAATCCAAATTACTAGCATTGAGAAAGATATTCCCACAACTATTTGAGAATCTACTTTCTTAACACTTTCAAAGCCATTAGAAAAGTGAAATGTTTCAACAAGTATTACTGTGATCACTATTACTGGTAATAAAACTGAAATTAGATCAAACTTATCAAGTATTGAACAAAAGTATCGTCTACATCCACGATAATGTAATTGTATTGCTTCGGTAACTAATAGATGAATTGCCAAATAATAGAATAAGACAATTAACGTAGCCAAAAATTTTTGCAGCTCTTTATTATCAATATTGTTGTTCATATATTCCCAACTTATATATCCGAAACATATTCCGAAACAAAGAAATCGAAGAAAATGTATGAAGATATAATTTTTGGTCTTTTTCCAACGAAAATCAATAACTGCTTCAATTGCTGGATTATTAAACATATCATCACAATTTTCATATTGAACAACTCTTGAAAATGGACTTAATAAGTTTTTTTCTTTTCGGTTAATTTTATACAGTCGTGGTACGATCATGAACAAAAAAATGTTTAAAATGATTTTCCAAACGGTATACTCTTCTTCTTTCTTCTTAATTTTATTCACTGTAAATTCAGGAAGTGGTACAACTCGCAAAGCTAAAGGTGGTTTCCCATGATCATTATCAAAGTTTTCAAACCATCCAGCTATGTTATGTTTAATCTTATTAATATAATTATATAATGCATTTTCTTTAGCTGATTGCAGATCGATTATAGGTCTAAATGCTCTGAACTTAGCATCATTATTACGCCTTTCCAAAAATTCTTCTGGAATGATATCATAAGGATCCTGTGCTAAAAAATAATTCTGATTTGCAAAACATTCTTTATGAAATAACCTTCTGGCATAATTATCTATTATAATAAATTTTATAAATAAATTAATTTAAATATTTTTTATAATAATATAAACAAAAAAATTAATGTGATCAGACCATAATTATATTTGTATAATAAAGGAAGTGCCGTAGAAACAGTAACCATCCAACCAACATGATCTTTAGCATGGCTTGAATAATATTCCAAAAGATAAGCCACGACGATCGTATCTTTTTGTTCATGGTCTATATATTGTTAAAATTCGATAATTTAATATAATTTTTATGCAATAATATCGTTAAGATTAAAAGCTATCAACTAACCTCTGCAATGATAAATTGCTAATTCCAAATCATTTCCTGGCACTATGTTCTCGTGATCTTTTATTTTTTTATTTCTGTTAAAAGGATTAATGTCATCATCCCTTATATATTTGTGCTTTTTCTGCCAAGATCTGCTTCTAGGTATATGTTTTACTTGAAAATTTTCTTCCTCCTTTGCTTCATTATCGTTTGAATTATTTCCAAATAGAATAAACTTAATTAATAGATCGCAATCACCAAGGATTAAATTTTTCATAACATTATGTCGAACGTCAAGTAATCTGTATTGATCTGGCTTTTGTATAATATATCTCCAGACTATATGATTAATATACATAATCATTTCCTCATACTTTTTTAAAAAGAAGAAATTTAAGTAATATATAAAAAAATAATTAAAAAGCTTAACATACTTACTTTATATACTTTATCGTAATTTACAAAAGATTTTATAGATTTAGCACGCTTATTAAGGTGTTCTAATGCTTTACATGCGTATCTTACTCCATTCATATTTTCATTAATATCATTCCACTCTATCATTCTTTTTTTCAACACTTTTCCCTTAATTTCTTTCATTGCTTTCATATTCTCTTCCATGTTAATCTCATCGACTTCCTCTCTTGAATTATTTTCATACCAGTAAATTTCCAAATAAAAATATTTCGGTCCGAATATATGCTTGTTAATGCGTAATCTATTTTCTTTATTTTCTTGATTTATTGGAATTCCATTTGTCCAAATAAATTCAAGAAATGGTTTTCCTTCATTGGGAAGTTTCTCTTTCTCTTTAACTTTATTTTTTGGATCTGAAAAGAATTTATGCCAAATTTGAACGGTAGTTCTTCCTATTATTAACTGCAAAACCTCTATTTCATCATTAAAAAGATAAAATGATGTCTCGTCATAATAATCCATTACCCATGGTTCTGTTTCATTAATTAATGGCTTGGACTTCTCTTCATAAGAAAATACAGTATGCCTTTCCTGAGAAATTTCTCCCTCATTAAGTATGGGATCTTTTTCGATTTCTGCAGTGTATTCTAAGAAATTTTGATCATCAATTTCTTTCTTTGTCTTCTTCCTTAATTCATTATCAATCATCTTAAGCACTGAGGTAACTTTTCCATTATCATCAACTTGTAAAAGATTTCCAGAAGTTCTAGCCAAATGAGTATTTTCACATAATGGAAATGTTTTAACCATATCAGTGTTATATAAATCCCAGATAATAAGTTTTTGATTTTTTTCTTCATCACTGTAAACTATCAGTAATTTCTCATCACCGTCAATGAATTCTATTAAATGTATTTTTTTAATTTTCTCAAATAATCTATATGAGATCTCCAAACCACTCTCCATGAAATATATCCTGATAAGGTTTGAAAAAATTAATTCATTGAAACAAGCATCACGTGATTGAAAACAATGTCAACTTACCTAATAGATTGACCTCTGGCAAAACAAAGTTGCAATTTTTGCTTATCAATTGAATAAGAATACTTGTTGTACTTTCTTAAGTGTTTCTCCATGCTTTCTTTTCTCTTTATGTTGCTTTCTAATTTCATCTCTACCAGATCAAATACTAAAATATAAATTCGTTAATATAAATTCGGTAAATATGTTAAATTGTTCTTCTATATTTACCTTCAAGAAATTGTAAGTTGTTTTTATAATATTCGACCAAAAAATATTTGTCATAAATACATGAAAGGAGGCGGTCCATGCAATCCGGTATACCTTCATCATCATACCAATCTTTTAATTCTTCCTCAAAAATTTTCGGATAAGAAAATCTTTCATTATTGTTAAAACCATTGCTGCCCAAAATATATTCAAAGTTATATATCCCATTAATGTTCATTACAATGAATCTTTTCAAAATACATTCATTATATCCTTCTGATTTAGTATCTTCTATAAATCTACAAATTCCAGACAAATTTTTCAAATTATAAGCTCGAATAAACTTGCTGTCAACTGCATGATATTGGTCTAATTTAAGACAATATATTGCAGTTCTTTTATCGGGAACATTAACAATATATTCTTGTGATTTGTTGTAGTTATTTTCCTTCGTTTGCACCTCCACATTAATCTTCTTATCTTCCATACCTGTCTTATCTTTCTTTTCTTTCTTTTTCATATCCTTCTCAACATCTATGCGGGAAACTGCAACAAATATAAAATTACCAACATGATACTTTCTCATGCTCGATATATCTAATGACCATCTAAATTGGTTGTTGTTCTTTAATGGAACTATATCTGATTGGTCATGGACTGTTCCAAATTTTTTAAAAGTTAAATCATCATTTATTTTAAAAGTAGCTATAGTTTTATTAATTTCATGGGTTAAATCGGTTTTATTTTGTTCTAAGCCTTCTTGAGATGTATGAATTTTCTGTTTCTTGTTGATGCTGAATTTGCGATAATCTGTATTTTCGAAAACTTTAACCACATGATTCTCTAATATTACGTAATATTGGTGATCAATTAAAAAAAAAAAGAGAATTTTAATTTTGAATGGTTTGTAATGTCATTATAAAATACAAAAACACTTAAAATGTTTACTGAGCGAAAGTTTACCAGAGTCGAACGTAACAGCTAATTTTCCATCTCGACTAATCGCGATTTGATGTTTATTTTTAGAAACTGATGCGTCGCTATTTATTTTTTTTTTGCGTTTTAATATTAAGTAGAAATATAGCACATTTCTGAGTAAGGTTATTGTGCTTTTGGTAGTAATTTCGTTATCCATTTGTTTGTCGGAAGTTTTTTTTTGTTTGTAAATTTGAAAAATCCAACCCTTTTTATATCTTTTTTTAATATAGAAATGGTCATTTAATTTCGGCCTGAATTATGTATTTTAGCCGGTTATAGGATTATTGAACTCTAAATGTTCGGAACTACAATACCGATTTTCTCGTAACACGGTTAGCAAATTAGTTAATATAAATTAAAATTTGTACTCAAGCAACATTATATTTGGTAAATCATTTATTTAAATGAAGCGGTTAGATTTAGAAAATATTAAATTATCAAAGAACTTTATTCTAATTTTGTAAAAACAGGGACGTCGTTCAGTGTCACACAAAACTTTAGCCTGTTCAAAAAAGTAAGGAGGGCATATTTTCAAAGATGATAGTCGACCTTTGAAACATTTCCGTAATCTATTGTTTATTTTTATTTATTTTGGTATTCATTGATAGATTATATTTATGGACAGTTTTAATTTTTTTATATTGGAAATTTTCATTGTTCGTTGAAAGACTTTCCATTGACTATGATTATTCTTCATAAGAATGGTTTAGGAAATCTTTTTTCGAACTACGTCAATGGTAATTCAAATATTAAAGAATAATGCTCCAATGAACATTTTAGTCGAAACTAAGAATTTTTTTGCATGAATCGATTTTTTCTAAATTTTCATCTTTAATAACGGGTTAAAGTAATTAATTTTATCTCCGGCCGAAATTTAATTTTCGGCCAGTATTAAAATATAATTTCGATTGTTAAGTAAGGCCAAGTTTATAGTGTCATGTAAGTCTTAGTCAATTAAACCAGTTAAAGAATATTTTAACTGGACTGGTTAATGATTTTTAGGCCGATCATATCTTGTTTGGAAATCTCATGTGCTGAAGTTTACTAGTAAAAAAATAAATAAAAAATTTGAGTTAATACCGAATGCCTGCTGACTCCTTGCTTCGGAGGTCACGTTGCAAGGATAACCTCAAATTGAAACTCGTCATCAAACAGACACCCAATATTTTGCACGCTATGGGATCCGTACCCGAGAAACGCTAGCCGTGAAATCTCACGCACTATCCCACAACGACAATGCTCATTAGAAGTTATTTTTATTTAATTTTTGAGTCCTTTAAATTGCATATTAAACGTGATTAAATAAATAATATATTGACCATATGATAAATTTTATTTTTTTCAGTTTTTTTTTAATTGAAATAGTTATAGTTTTATAATATATTCATACGTAATTTTTTTACTAATTTTAAAATACTTTCTTTAAATTTATTTTTTAATAGACAAATCAAGAATTTTATTTTATTATGAAAGTTCAAACCATAGAAATAGTTGAAAAATGTTAACAGGTGTCTCCCGATAAATTTTTTGCTTTAAGGAATTTTTTCATATTGTAAATAATAGTATTGGTAAAAAAATAAAAAAAAAATTTTTTGAGTTAATACCGAATGCCTATCGACTCCTTGCTTCGGAGGTCACGTTGCAAGGATAACCTCAAATTGAAACTCGTCATCAAACAGACACCCAATATTTTGCACGCTATGGGATCCGTACCTGAGAAACGCTAGCCGTGAAATCTCACGCACTATCCCATAACGACAATACTCATTAGAAGTTATTTTTATTTAATTTTTGAGTCCTTTAAATTGCATATTCACGTGAATAAATAAATAAAATTATTGATCCGTCCGATTTTTTTTTACTTAAATACTTTATATCTATATTCACATTTCCATATCTAGAAATGTTCTTATTTTTTTTCATATCGACGAAATCGACTCACAATAAAAAATATGTTTTACTTCTGTTTAAATAATGTCGGACGGTAATATATTTTTTTTTAAACTGCATGAACATATATATATATGAGAGATTTGCTAATGTTCCAAGTATTATTTTTTAATAATTTTAGTTTTAAAAATTAAGTCTGCAAAAATAACTAAGATTTGGTTAAAGGCAAATAAAATTGCATTTATTGGACAGCAAATTCAACCAAAACCTGAATCAATAGAGAAGAACATTTGGAAATATAAAATTCAAAAGCGTGTGGCCATGAATGAATGAGATTGCACTAAAGACGGAATGGAAAAATTTGTGTCGTTTGTTTTTTTGAAGATATTATAACTTCAATGACACGAAGAAATATTGCAATATTGGAAGCAATTGGAAGTTTATTGATAAATAATAAAAGGTTTTTACTTTATGAACGCGACTGTTTATACTTAATACAAGATTATTTGCACATTACACGATTATTTGATAGAATAAATTTTCTATCGATGCTCAACACGAAAGAAAATTTTGCTTAGCAAGAAGCAATTGCTAGAACTTGACAAGCACGATTGCTTAAAACCAAATAGTAAAACAGAAACGAGAGAAACGAGTACGACAGTAGTAAAGCCAAGAAAAATTATAGTTTACAGTGATTTTTACCGCATATTTCGTGAAAAGGAGCAGAAGTTTAACATCTTTATGCGTTTAAGCAAGGGAAAGACTATTGCATACGACTTGACAACTAGTGTAATTTCGTTGTTGTTTAGGATCGGTTTAGGATCGTTGAGCTGACTAATTTGTAGCAGTAGTTCTAACTTGGCTGATTCGATAATTAAAAGAATCGTACATGATGTGAGGGGCAGGTCCAAAGATGGTTGAAAACTTCATTTTCTATTTGATTACAATAATGTCAAATTGTCACAATCGACTTATAGTTGCTAATGGAGTGGACATAATAGTTGGCAAAATAATGTGTTTTTCTCATTGAACCACCATCACCAGTAGAAATAGAAGCAGACGCTAAATGGTTGTAGAACGGAGAAAACGGCTATTTGGCAGTATGGCACCTTCGCAATGCTCGCGTTACTTTATATTTTAATCCCACAGCTCGCAATTTATTTGGAACAGCATCACTCCATCACCAACCGTTGTCATTTGTTAGAAATACCGGTATTCTAAATGCTTGAATTATTATTGTCCTATTCATAATATGGTGATGTGTGCTGCTGGCATGGCAGATCAATTCCTGCCAAAGTGATTTTTATGGAGGCGTTCCCACTGGTGTACCAATAATTTTCATTTTGGATTTATGGGAATTACAGAATCGAGCTTTGTATTACATGGTGTGTACTGTTTTCATGTTTCTTACACTTTTATGATCACAATTTTTCTATTTTTTTTTTACGTTTTTAGAGATGAAATCAATATATTTGCGGATATGACGTCTGACAATTACCCAGTTGACTGATAATAATTATATGTCAACTTGGTCATTTTTGACATCGGGGATCAATTAAATTGACTATCCGTTACCATGCTATTTTTAAGGGATTTCCGTAATATTCAAACAGAAGCATTCTTTTCACTCAAAGGCCTATTATAGAGCGTCTCCGAGACAGCATTACTCTATATATATATTTTCATTTTATTAAACAAATTCTTTTTCATTAAATTCGTTATTAAATTAATCGACTTTCGTATGAAATCTATTTGTAGAATTTGCTTTATTTTGATTTCTGCAAATTGCAATATCGCACTGCTGCAACTTCAATTTTTAAAAATTATTGCAAATTTACCAAAATAAACTATTTCAATGCAAATTTTTATTAGTGAAAAATTTGGATTTTATTACTTATGTTTTAAATTTCATTATCATTTATTAATAAATAGTGGTTATCTTGTTAATTGATATATTGGTATAAGTTTATTTTATTTTTTTTTACAAAAAGTTTGCGCTTTGAAAATATTTGCGCAAATGCAAATTGCACATGATTTTTTTTTTGCGCATTGCCCAATAAACATTTGACTTGAATTTCATACACAGTCACCAATGAATAGTTGCATAATTTATTTTAAATACCTCCTTACGAAACTAGGAGGTAACGATTATATGGATATAAATTATCGGTCGCATTAAAAACTTAAATCCTGTTCGCAATTTATAATTGAGATGTTATTAAATGTTAATAAAACGAAAATTTTAGATACAAAAATACAATTAGTTCACGATGGATTTGATTATTTATTTATTATTACCCCAAGATTTCTTGTGACATATTTAAAACGTTGAATTATTCGTCAGTTAATTGGAGGTTATCTTAAATACTATCCGCTCTTTTATAATAATTATAAAAAAGATTAGTTTATACTTAAAAAATAAAATAAATAAATAATGTAAAATATAATAATTTATTCAAAATATAAATTTGGAAAGATACAAAACTAAAAACAAATACAATAATATTAAAATTTCATTCAAAGAATGTTATTTTTTTTACAATATTTAATAGCCGGCGGATAATCTTTAAGAGCAGACATAGTCATGTAACGATCACCTGATGGCTTATCCTTATTCATATAATACCATGTTGCTATATTGAACATGGCAGTCTTGTTACCATTATTTGCGGCTTTAAGTAAATATTGAGTTCCTTGTTGGGAGTCCCGCTTACAACCTAATCCTTGTGTTAACATGGTGCCATATCTAAGCTGAGCCTCGGGAAATTCATCGCTATAGTCAGCAACTTCTCTGAAAAGTTCTAAAGCTTTTTTATCCCGTTCAAATTTTTCGCACTTAAGGTCAGACCAACCTTTGGTAATATAAAATGCCTGATAATATTTTGCTTGATAGTCATTCATGCACGCAAAAGTTTCAAAACATTTGTATATTTTATCTCTTTCGACATCCACATCGCCATTTTCAGCTTTTTCATGTTCTTTAATTGCTTCATCAAGAGTCATATAATCAAATAAAGACCAATCAAATACTGCACTTGGAATAGATGGAGGTTCTTCTTCAACCGCATTTGATGATTGATTCTCAAATTCCACATAGATATCATTTAATTTGATTAAAATATCTGCAAAAACGGGTCTCCTTTCTGGATTTTGGTCAACTGCCATCTTCGATAAGTTTCGATATTTGATTGGAAATTTGCTATCTGGTGAAAATTGTTCTTGATACCTTTCTAAACATACCAAGTTATAAATAGATAATACATCATTTTTGTCTTTATATGGCAACTTTTCTTCGGCGATTTCCCATAAAAGTAGGCCAAAACTGTATACTTCACATTTAACGTCGTATTTTTGCTTCACATCTTCCTCTCGACTTCTAGCCAATATTTCTGGTGCATTGTAACGAGAACGCATAATATTCAATTCTTGATTCTTTGTTTGATCTTTATTGCCACGACTGTATTCGAAATTGGTAATCTTTGCTTGATCATGTTCCGTAATGACGATATTATCGGGTCTAACATCATGATGAACAATCCCAACAGCATTCAAAAAGTTTAATCCTTTTACAACATCAAATGCGATCCTAATCTTTAATTCGATTCCAATTTTGCATTCGAGATATTTACGTAAATTAGCTTTACTCGCCCATTCGGTGACAAGATAATAATAATTTCCATCGAAGGATAGTCCATAAAAATAAATGATGTTCAAACATCCCTTAATTTGTTTAAGAATTATAAGTTGATTTTTGATTTGATCTAATTCCTCCGAATGTTTTTCGCTGGCCACCTTTTTGAAAGCATATTCTTGTCCGTTTATTAAATGTTTATATTTTCTCAAATTATTTTTAACGTTGTATGATTCATCTTGTTTATACTCTTCATATTTGAGTAATTTTTCTTGAAAATAATTATCAATTAATTTTTGATTTTTTGATTTATTATTTTTTGGTAAATTATCTATCATTGACTTCACGTCCCTAACCTCTTGTATAACTTGATTTAACTGTTTTAACTGACTTAGCTGGCTTAGCTCTATAACTTCTTTCACAACCGATTTTAATCGGTGTGTCTGCTTTTTAGATGCATCGATACTTGACTCTAATAAGCTACCAAACTTTTCAAGCGCTGCAATATCTTTTCTTATCATTTCATTTTCTTCCTTTGCGCTTATACGAAAATTTATCGTAACCAATAAATTCAAAAAATTAATGCTGCTATCATATTCTTTACATAATTCTTGATACGTTTGTTGAATAGTTTTACCTTCTAAATATTTTCTTATTTTACCATACTTTGATATATCACCAATGAAATTCCTCATTAAGCCGAGTAAATTTACTAATTTTTGTAAGCTCTCATAACTTTCCGTTGTGAATAAATCCTTTTGAGTTTTTAATATTGAAATTTGCGAATTTGCAACTCCAATCCTTTGAATTAATAATTTACATATGTTTTTGTTATGTTGCGCAATAACGTACATTTGAACTGCGTTATCAAGGATCTTTACCACATCACCAAATAATGGCAAGAATTTCTCAAAAGGAATTAATACCGAAGTCGCTGTATTTATCGATGATGTAACTTTTACTACGGCTTCTCCATAACCTGTATAGTTACTCGCGGTTTCAATAAATTTATCTGTTTTGCTACTTTCTTCCATTTTTTTTTTTTTTGTTTTTTATTTTTATTTTTTTTTTTTAAAAAAAAAAATTTTTTTTTTATTACTTTTTTTGGTAAACTTATTTATACTCGCCGGAAAAAACATTCCGGTGCGGTGATACAACATTAAGAAAAATAACATGACAAGTGCATAGATTTACAAGTTACATTGAATCTTTTTTTATTTTATTTCCTTTTTTGATTATATATAACAATTTCAAATAAAAAAATTGAGAACTGCGTGGAAATTTTCTATGACGAAACAGTTAACAAATCACATGTATGCATATCGGTCTGTACGACATATAAAAAATATCGGTATAACTTGCGTATTTGTCAGCTAAACATGGACTCTTCCACTGTTAACCTTAAATGGTTCTTCCACTATCGACATTATTCCTGAACCTGGTTTTATTCGATTCCTCGTTATTTCGATTAATAGTAAACGTTCTCCTTCGTTCGTCAAAAATAAAATCAAACAAGATATTTGACGTTTTACCAATTCCATGAGTTACAAACTGCTTACTGATAAACAGAAAAGAAATCTTGAAGAAAGTCGATATGCAAGCTACTTGGAAAGACCTCACGCTCAATGAAGGGTGGGTACGTGGGACCATTTATATTTGAACAATTTCGAAAGCGTTAAGAAAGTATCACATACTACGTTAGGAATCGAATTAGATGTATTAGCTAGAAACTTAAGCCCTGAGACGAAGGAACTGAAGAAAGTGTTAGAGTTAAAGCGTCATTTGAAAGTTAACATTATACACGTTTCTTAAGAATGTGGCTGCGGTTATGGTGAAGAAGAACATCCAGACATAGAGCTTCTGTGATGTGCATATCTTACTATGAGGTTTATTTGATTAAGGTCTGCAGATTCTGGAGGAGGAATCGGTTATGTACCTTCATTATGGTGAAAGGACCTTACTCTCTTTGCATGTTTCAGAAGTCACAGAGTACAAATAAGATAATTTTTGTCTTTGTCATATTTATCAATAATACCGAATATTTACTTTAATCTTACACTCTTCTTATTGTCAAACTAGCCAAAAAAAAACACAGTAAATAAATCAGAAGGTGAGTCGTAATAAGATTAGCCGACGCAATGGAACGCGATATGGCTTAACTTTTTTGATAGTCATGGTTTCTGCTGCTTGTCAATATATTTTAATACCGAATTTTCACTTTATTTTTTTTCATCTGCTAACAGGTCGTCTTACCGAACGAGAACTATTCGAGTAGTTGTTCTTTATTCCTATATTATTCAGAATTACAACTAATAACACAACAACTTCGGCTTCATGAAGGGTGCCTGAAAATCCAGTGAAATCATGGGAAACTTTTCTTGCTGATGCATTTCAGGTAGAAAGTTCAACATCTGAAAGTACAACAATTAAATTATTATTACGAGCAAAGAACAAGTAAACAATCAAAGACTAAAGCGTCTATCGAAGCCAAAAAGGTGGAACACTCGATTTCAATGTATAGTTGCCTGATGAAACTCCTGGGTTTAGACAGACCGTCGAATGTCGAAAGTGTCAAAACCTTAATAAAATCATAAACTAACCAAACTTGTCGAAACCCGTCGAAACCTACCAAACTATATCAAACAGTCAAAACTATATTATGAACTTATGAAAACCTGTCGAAACTAGAGGTTTAAACGTTTCGACAAATCCAAAACAGGTTTCGTCATGCAACTATATTTAATGTCGTGATACTTTGGTGATCCAGATTTTATACTTCTCAATGCCAACAATAATGAGTTGCTGCACTTTATAACTGACACAAAGATACTCACTGTGGCTGAAGTAAAACTGGAACAGCTTATGACTAATTTAATTAAGGGAACTGAGCTAGATGAAGGAGAAGTCGAGATTACAGATGAAAGAGAGGAGTTGTTCGATCTTTATAATAGTGCGGTTGACATGATAGACCAGTGATGGCAAGTGACCTAAATAACCTCAAATGACTAAATGACAAATGACTAGTCATTTGAAGGTCATTCGAAGTCAAATGACAAATGTTAAAGAAATTATATCACGTGATCATATTATTCTGGTAATATTACTATCGTAATTTTTCGTAAATTTTTTTATTTTAATTCTGGCTAACTTTAACTTCACATTAAGATTATATTTGGCCAATACTGTAAAGGACTTAAATGACAAATGACCTTAAATGACCAGTTCATTTAAAGGTAATTTAAAGGTCATTTTAAAATATTCAAATGATTTGGTCACTATGGTGCACAGATGATTATACCAAATATGAGAAAATTATTAAAATCGTTCAGCAAGCTTTGGATACATGGTGGTGAATAATTTACGATATGCATGATTACGTCATTCGTTAGAACATGGTCTTTAAAACGTGATCAAGACGGCAAATACATATCTCCTATAGTATCTATTAATCAACAACACATAGAAAGTAAAGCTTCATTTTTAGAATGTATACGTTACTTCGAAGATATTTCTAGTATAGAAACAAATGCTTATTCTTCACCACCGAAGTCTGATCATGGGAATTCTCAAGAAGATTTGGACAGTTCGAACTCAGACCATTCGGATCATGATTCTGGTGATGATTATAAACCAAAGACTAAACGTAGAAAAGTTAATAATTCGGAAGTAAAAACTTGGATTAATTGAAGTAAATCTCAAACAAACTACAAATACAACCACTCAGTGTACACTCCCCTGCCATGGGTCATGGGAATTTATAATATTTACTTAGTAATATATGGGTGGTTTGCTATTAAAATTGAGTTACGGATCATATGATTTACTATGTCTCGTACCTCGATTTTAATAGCAAAATTGATGATCTTCAAATTGTATAAAAATTTATGAATTATTAATAAAATTTAACCCAAATTTTTTTTTTATTTAAAAGCCAATTGATTATAGTTTTTAAAAATGTATTTAGAAATATTTTATTTTTAAAATGCAGAAAGATATACATTTGCAAAGTAATAAATATGATATTTTTATATGTAAAAATGGAAAAACCATAAAGAAAAATTAAACTTATTCTTTATAATGAGAAAATTTTTTCTTTAAAATATTTTATTTTTATTAAAAACTATAATATAAGTTTTATAATTAATCAGTTTTAAATAAAAATGTTTGGGCTGGATTTTATTAACAATTCATAATTGTTATATAATCTGAAAATCATCAATTTTACTATATATATTTAAGTAAATTTTATAAATTCCCATGACCCATAGCAGGTGAGTATATAAGAAAAACTATCATGAAAGAAAAAAATTTTATTTATTTATAGAACATGTAAGGTGAACAGGGAATCAATAGATACTTATTTTCTTGAAGTAATATTTTTACTTTTCTTATTTGTACTATAATTTTCCAAATAATAAAATTTATGCAAAGTATAATGAATTGGATGATCAATGGTCTAATCAGATTAAAAATATGTATAGTCTAATTATTTTATATATAATAAATTTTAATATAAAATTAAACAAGTTCTCAATACTTTTTTACATTTTTATATTTAGAAAATAATATAATTTTGATATGATTAAGTATTGATGATCATAATTATACAGATTTTTATCAATCTAAATATGACTAATTTTAGTAATGCAATCTGTACAAATTGAATTTGAAGTTTATAAGCTATTATTATTCCTCTTTATCAGCTTCAAACAAAAATTGGAAACATATTTTTCCAATTAATGTTATTATAGTAAAATTTTGGTAAAAATAAATAAATTATAAATATTAAATTATTTATAATATTAATTTTTATTTTTTTATTTTTTAAAGTTGGAGATTCATTTTTATATATTATTTTTAAAAGTTGGTTTCAAGATCAACTATCAAAACAAAGACATAATTCTTATTTCAAAAGTGATAGAAAAGGTATATAAAGCATATTGTTATTTAACAGTTAAAATTATTAATTATTATATTATAACAATAATTCAAAAAAAATAAACCTGAAAAGAGAAGTTGGTTAATAAAAGAAAGTATAAAAATACTTATCAATCATCGTGATTATAATAATTATAAAGAAAATAAAGAAAATTATGATAATAATAATGATGATAATAACTAACTTACCATCCAAAATAAAATAGTATAAATTTATTAATCAATTGATCTTTATTATATATTTTTTAGATAATGTTTCTTCTTCTTCTCCTTTTACTTTACCATTACTAACACTTTTTTATTTAGAATATGATGAAAGTTTGGGTAATTTTATTGGTTTTTTTAAAAAAAAATATAAAAACAAAATATTTAGATTTAATTTATCATTATTTCTTTTTTTATTTATTTTCTAAAGAAGATGACAATATCACTATCACCAATATTACTGTTATCCAAAAATAATTGTCATTACCTTCACTACTATTGCTAAAGCTAACCACTAATAAAGTTACTACTACCCTAAAGTTGCTGTTACCTTCACATTTACTACCAAAATTACTTCAAAAAAGTAATTTTTATATTTATATTTAATATTATGTCATAAAATAATATACAATATAATATAATATAATAATAATTTAGAAAAATCAAAAAATCAGAATTAATTTTGAAAAATATTTATATGTTAAAATCTAACCTAATATAATATATATAATATACTGATTAGACATAAAATTAAAAATAACTTATACAATATATTAATTAGACATATAAATTCTATGCAAAATTATATATATAATAAGCTGATTAGAAATATAAATTCAGTATTTTTTTGCATATGAAAAAAAATGATTTTTAGTATCTAGTATACAGAAATATTTACAAATTTATTAGAACATTTTTCTATGTATTTTATACATTTTTTAAACATATTATTTACATTATTATATTTAAATTATAACTCAAATTAAAGTCGCTAAAAATAAATAAGTCAAAGATTTAAACTCAAGGAATCACAGGTAAAAATTCACAGTATTGTCAAAGATTATTCCCAATTTAAATACAAGTAATTTTGAATATTTCAGGGATTACATTTCAGTGACTGAACCTTAAGTCAATACAATGAATCAATAAAATATCATGAAAAATTAATAAACAATATAAATTTACAAACAGGTTAATGTGTTGTGAAGGATAAGTTTTTACTTAGTTAATTATGCTCTTTATTAATATGATAATAAAAGTAAGTTCTTTACTTAAAGGTATTAAGACTTAATAAAAAATACAGAGATATTTATACATATATCGAAGAAAATAAAATTGATATATTACTAGAAAATAAAGTTGACATAATCGATTAGTGAAATAATCATAATAATAATGTTATCTAATATACTAGAAATTAAGTTAATATTTAGATTGATATTGATTTATATTGATTATCAAGGAAAACTAATTAATATCAGGATTTATAAGATCATCTACAAGGAAATAAAATTAACATCAAGATCATCAGTCAAATCTTAACCAAAATTTACAATGTTATACTATATACTTTACTTATACAGATTATTTTTTAGGAAAATATTATATTTTAATTAAATAAATTAATTTTATATAATGAATAATAGTCATAAATTGTTAATAACTTATAATTAGTTAATTTAATTTTAACTCTTTTTTTTATTAAATTTTATTTAAAATTTTTATATAAAAGATATACTTTTTTTATGATAGCTTATAAAAAATAACTTTTCTTTACAAAATTTTTTATTATTACTAATATCTTTAACTATATAAAATTTGTTATAATAGTTTAAATTAATGTTGTTATCTGAAACAAAAATTCTGTAGTTTAGGATAATTGAAACTAATTTAGTTAAGTGTCAATCTAATTTCATTAATAGCTGATAGTTCTGTTTAACTAAAACTAATTTTTAGTATTTTAGGATAATGCATATATCTTTAGTCTAAATATATTATTTTTATTAAAGATTATTTTCTACTTTATCAAATTTATTTCATTTTTTTATTTTTCTCAACTCAAATTGTCTATATTATAAAATATTCTAATTAACTATCAGAATTAAAAATGATTTTAAATAAATAAATCCAACTCTCCTTCTTTTTAAATATTAAATTGATTGATAACTTTTCGTTAATTTTGATATTAATATCATAGAATATCTTTCTAACTTTATATAATTTGAATCATATTTTATACTAAAGGTCAAATGTAATCTGAATTAACAAATATTTCAATTTAAATATAATAATTCAGATTAGATTCACTTGTAAATGCTTATTTGAAATTGAATAAGCATTTTTGCTAAAAACTTAAATAAAGTTATTATATTATTTTTTATTAATAATTTTTCTTCATAATTTAATAGTTCTAAAGAATGTAGTAGCTTTCATTATGTTGTATTTTAAGTTTTAAGTTGATGGATTCAAAAGATATGTAAATCAAATAAATCATTGTTACTTTTTTTAAAGTATAACATTACAAACATTTAATCTGATTGAAGTTAACTTTTTTTTATAAAAGATTAGATAATATTTTTTTTTTTACTTTTGGTTCTATTTTATAGAATTTTCTTATATTTTACAAATTTGAATTAAAAAAAGCTGATTTGCTTTTAATAAATATTATCTTATTGAATTGTTGCTAATATCAATTTTTTGATAATCTATTTTTCTAAAAATTTAATATTTAATAATAAAATAAATGTGGTATATATCATTAAAGTATATCAAATTGATAGCATATTCTTTATAATTTGAGAAATAAAATAAATATTAAATCAATTACAATATTTGTGATTGATGAATTATAAGTAAAGTTGTTTTTCTAAACTTATTTTAGATTTTGGCTAATATTATTTCACAATTTTATAAGCTTTAATATAATTTTATCTTTATTCAATTTTAATAGATTTTTTAATAAGATTTAATATAATTTAACCAAGTTTTACTTTACTATTTAAATGTTTGTCTAAATTTTTGATTTTATTCAACAACCTTAATTATAAGCCTTTACCATTAATTTTACTTGTATTTCATTTGAAAGTAATTATATATAATAATGATTGTAATATTTAATTATAAATGAATAAAAAATAATTTATTTAATGATTACAAAATACTATATGTTATGTAATATAACTACTCTATATATATTGTATTGCTTATTAAATAAATATTTATAAAATTTGGATATAAATAAATTTTAATATATAAAAATTAAATATAACAAATTTTTAATTTTTTCAAAATATCAAGAATTATTAAATAAAATTATATATATATTTTTTAAAAATGAAAATATTTATTCATCATCTGCAATAATTAAATTCTCTATAAATTTAAAAAAAAATAAATATAATAAAATAGAAATTATTAAAAAATTTTAATTTATAATATAAATATAATTACCAATACTTTGACTACTTTCTGTTATATTTATAATATTATAACTTAAAATCTCATTTAATTTTTCAGTATAATTAAGTAAATGACTTGTATGATATGCTTTTGGATGATGAGATTTAACTATAATTTTATCACTATCTGAACTATTATTTTGTATTTGTTTTAATACCTTATCTGCTTTATAAAAATCTAAAATATCATCTGTTAATTCTTTTTTAAATTCTTTATTAATGATATTTTCTTTCCAATTTTTAATAATCTTTTTAATTTCTGATGCAGTTGGTCTTTTTAGTGGATCCATATCCCAACATTTTTTC